ACCCCTAGAGGATCTTCAAGTAATCTTCCCTTTTTTTTTAAACACCCTTACATCCCTGGTGTTCAGGGGTGCTGACACATACCCAATGACTGGTCTCCCTTGATTTTCTACTAATGGTACTTCCCTCAATAGGTACAGCTGCCCCCTTTCTTTATTGCTATCCCCGCTGCTTTCTGCTCGTGACCTTTCCTGGCTTCTCGTTCTGTGTGCTGGTGGTGAATCAAGTACTTGGAGCGGAGCCACCGGGCCTTGTGGCAGTGGCAGTGGAACCACCGGGGCTTGTGGCAGTGGGAGTGGAGCCACCGGGGCTTGTGGCAGTGGCAGCGGGAGTGGAGGCACCAGGGCTTGCGGTGCAAGGGGTGCTGGAATGGGTGCAAAATGTGCCAGGTTAGGTGCTGGATGAGGCACCTCTACCAGTGCAGCTGGCTGTGGTAGATAAGGGGGGGGAAGGTTATCTAAGGGATCTCACTGATTCTTTTCCTTTTTGGTTTTTAATGCATACAGGGGAGTAGGCCAGGACCCATGCTATAAAGCAGCATAATTGCTTTCTTCTTGGTTAATAGGGTCCTTTTTATTTACATAGACATTCAAGGCCTTAGAGATTCACCCTTCAGATGACCCGTACATTGGCTAGTATAAATTATCAGGTCGTATCATTTCCTTAGTCCATTCTACCATACAATATTGTATCATTTTCTCTTTACTTTTTCCTCTCCTGGATTCACATTTGTCCTATAATTTTAACATTACCCCAAGGGGCCTGTCCTGGGGTATATCTGGCAAAATGCTCCCTCTTTTTCCAGTACTTTCAGTACCTTTATTTTTCTGCTGGTTTATACCACCTCCTGGGTATTTGCTCTGGCATTTACCCATTTTTTTTCCCCGAACAGGTGTTCCCTCACTCTCTTTGACCTCACTTGTTCAGACCTTAGTCCTTCTTGTCAGGAATTTCCTTAATAACAAGTCCCTTCTAACACCTCTTGCCTCTGATTCTCTACGAGGAAAAGAAAACAAATTCCTCTCCGTAACTATTGTCGTATCTCACCCTCCCAACCTTTTATATACAGAAAATCCTCTTCCACATGCTTTGTTCCTTCACCTGCCGCCCCCATCATGGGGAAGCAAAGCTGAGGTTAGAAGAACTCCTCACCTGTGTTGTGACTAGGTCACGTCTCATACACACATCATTCACACTCTTACACACCTACACCTGTTCTTATCCCACCAAACCAAGCAATACTTACAGCCTCCTTTTCTCACCTGGGTCTTTGTGCACGAGTTTATTACAGGAGAATTTACTGCAGTCTACTCCAGGAGCTCAAAATTCTTCGCTCATAATTTACCTTATGGATTTCCTCTTCCCTGAGAGATTCCCTCGTCACTCAGGGCCACCGGAGGCAGAAGCCTCCAAGGTAGGGTGCCTCCCCAAGATCAGGAGTCTCCCTTAATGGATTTGGAAATTCCCGGCCAACGCACCAAATTTGTTCTGAATGAGAAGCTTGACTAAGCCAATATTCAAGCAGCAATCAATTTATTATTTAATATGGTAAAGTATGAGCAATACAGCACTGGGTACAGTGGGGGAAGTTTTCCCTCCAACTGCACACCGATAATTGAGGGTTACAGGTGTTTATAGGGGTACTCATCAGTTTTTTTCAGCAGTTTCTATTTCCAATCTTTTACTCATCAGCAATTTTCATTCCAAATTATTACATCACAATTCTATACACTTGTGATTTTAATTTCTCAGGATGTATCTCAAAGGAGTATCCCCAGATGGTGATGGTCCAGTTTCCAAAAGAAGAAAGATGACTCCCATCTGGTGGGGTCCAGCTCCCCAGATGTGTCCACCTTTTAATTGCAGAGACTATAAATCTCATAACAGTGATGTCCAGCTTCCCTTTGGTTGAAACCATAAATCCTTGAGGTGATGTTCATCTTTCTTTCTTAAGCTGTTTTTCTCTGCTTCAATAAGGCGTGAAATAAGCATATTTCCTTCATATATATTCCAAAGCTATAGTTTCAAGGATACAAGTAATATTCAAAAATTATACACTAAAAGGTTATTATTGCAGAGCTTTTTATGGATTAAATGCAAGCAAAAAGCAACATCTTTAACACCTTAATTCCAATGCTCCTAAATCAATTACGGTTAATTACAAACAAAAGATAGGTTCAAAGGCCTTGTTCCATGCTTTATTTTCCTCAGTTATTATTAAAATTGACAGCTCTCCCATTGTCGGGGTCCACACATTTCGCATTCACAAATACACACGTCGCTTGCTTGTACCTGACACGAAACACAGCTTTGCATCTCACAGGGGCACCGGACGAGGCGGGGAGAAGGGAAGGGCACAGGCGCGGCCGCCGTTCGGGGCTGGACACTGGGCTCAAAACTCATTCCCCGCATCCCCGAATCGCC